GAAAATCAGACAACATCCTAGATGACTTCCATTTGCGAAAAGAGATAAAGCCGAAGGTATCGTCAAAGATATGAATAAACAAGGGGTAATTGAACCATCAAACAGTCCATGGACATTACCAGTAGTTCTAGTAAAGAACAAATATGGTTCAACGTGTTTTTATATTGACTACCGCCAGCTCAATGCGGTAGCTAAGAAAGATAGTTATCCTTTGCCCAGAATAAATGAACACTTGCGTTCTCAACACTCGATAGAATCAGGGCTTTGGCAGTTCACGGTTATGCCCTTTGGTTTATGTAATGCCCCTGCCACATTTGAAAGATTAATGGAAGCAGTTTTAAGAGGTCTAACATGGAAAACATGCCTGGTTTATTTGGATAATGTAATTGTCGTGGGAAGATCCTTCGATGAACATGCCAACAATCTGACAGAAGTCTTTCAACGATTGCTTGTCAGCGAATTTGAAGTTAAGTTAGTTGATAAGATATTATGGATATGGCAAAACGGCAAGCAGGTGTAAAAACGTGTGAAATGTCTCTCCAAAATAAATATTGTAAAAAGTGTAAAAAAACTGTAGTAAATGGAGTAAAGTGCATAAATTGTGACGCTAGCATCCATGTGAGTTGTGCTCGAAAGAGTAACAATGTTAAGTTTATAAATGACAAGTTGATTGAATGTTGTTTACCAGTGAAACCTGAAGATCAAATATTTTTGGAAGCAATGGATAACTTAATAATAGATGATAAGGTAATTGATATTAACACATTCAAATATATAATTAGACAAAAAGATACCCTAATTAAAGAGCTATACGGAAAAATTGACCTTATGAGTCAACATATTGATTTACTAAAACAATTAAATTCGCAAAAAAATGTTGTCGAAAATCAAGAACAACTTATACATCAAATAAGGTAATAAACAAAGACACACTTCTGGATTCAGTCGAAACAAAATCAGTTCGTCACCCCATCAACGCGAACAAAGATCGCACTGTTGCCAGTTCTTCCCAGAAATGTGAAGTTACAAAGAAAAGATGTTTCAGAAGCGATATTACAAGTAACTACAGAACAAAAGTTAAATGAGTACATATACGTAGGTGAAAGTAACCAGGAAAACTCGGAATGGACAGAAGTAGATAGAAGAAAAAAAAGATAAGCATTTAGTTGTGGGAAAAAACACTGAAATGACATTAAATGGAAAAGAAATCAAGGGAGTACATAAGTTGATAGACCTACATGTATACAGGGTCGATCCCGATATGACTGCGGAAAATATGAGGGAACTTATGAAGACTACATTTCCCGAAGTAGAGGTAGAATCCCTAAAATCAAAGCATCCTGATATTTACAGTTCATTTAAAGTTACATATTTTTAATAACAATTTTAAAGAAGCTATGTCTCCTAAAATATGGCCATGTGGAGCTCACGTACAACGTTTTTTTCACGTAACACGCAAGAAATGTAGATAAAAGTGTACGAATTAAAATCAGCGGTAGTGCAAAAGAATATAGGAAACACCTGTTTTTGTGAAAGTGATATAAGTTCTGATAAACAAAAGTTGGTAGTAAATCCTGACCAAACCAGTTTGGTAAGCATTTTTCATTTAAATACACTTTAATAAAGTTTATTAAATAAAATTGAACAACTTAACATTTTTTTAAAAGATAATATTTTGTGCTTTTCTGAACATTGGCTTAGAGAATCTGAATTAACAACAGTGATAATTGACAGATACTTTTTATCACTTGTTACTGTAGAAAAAGTAGAGAACATGGGGGTGTTGCTATTTTCTGCGATGGCAAAATATCTACACATCCAGTTTCTTTGAATAAACTATTTTAGTATCAGTGTATAGAACAGGTAACGCAGATTTCCAAATTTTCTTAGCCCTATTTGAAAAATTATTATTATTCTGTTCTAATAATTATGTTCAAACAATTATAATTGGGGATTTCAATATTGATTTCAAAGGCACTTCAAACGAATTAAAATATTTTTCCGATCTAATTTCTTCTTTTGGTTTAACTATGAAGATTGATGAATTTACAAGAATCACTGCTACATCAGCAAGTTGTTTAGATAATATTTTAACAAATATAGATAATGAAATAGTTGGGTGTGGTGTTGTAGACCCATGCCTTGCTGATCATTGTGCTCAATTCCTGAATTTAAAAATAAAATCTGATCAAATTGACAATGATAGGATATTCAGAAGACACATAACATGTAAAGGCACCCAAATGTTAAAACAATCACTAAAATCTGTGGATTGGTCGTTAATAAACAATTCAATAACAGCAACGGAATTAGCTGAGTTCATAATTGACACATATGTAAAATTAACTGAAGTTTGCTTTCCAGTAAAAAAGTCAAGAATTCATTTTGAGGCACCTGTTTCTTGGTTTGACGATGAACTAAGGAAAATGCGAGTAAACCTTTCGAAGATAAAAATTACTGCTAACCTTACTAGTGATTACACTCTGTATAATCAATTCAAAAAACACTATCAATTAACAATATCAATAAAGAAAAAACTGGCATATGAGCAGTTTTTCTTAAAATCTGATAATATATCTCGAGATTCTTGGAAAGTCATCAATTATCATAGGAATAAAACTCAAAATAAAAAAGTAACTTCATGTAATATTTCATCAAACGAGTTTAATAATTACTTTACTTCGGTAGCGGGAAATATATTGAACTCGTTAGATGAGACAGATGAAAATGATGCCATGAATTTTTTGGAGGGAATATACTCCCCTTGCCACTCGTTGTTTTTAACACCTGTTAGTGATACTGAAGTTAGGAATACATTATACAGCTTGAAAAACTCAAAATGCACTGATTTTTACTTCTTAAACAAACAATTAGTGATAGAAACTCTGGATATTATTATTGATAAACTGGTCATACTTTATAATCTTTGCCTTATCGAAGGAATCTTTCCCGATGTATTAAAAGTAACAAAAGTGTTACCGCTACTCAAAAAAGGATCTTCAGAAGAAATTGAAAATTATCGCCCTATTTCTATTATTCCCATTCTTGGTAAAATTTTTGAAAGTATTTTGAATAACCGTTTAATAGAGTACATAGAAAAGTACAAAATACTTCATTGTAATCAATATGGTTTCAGAAAAAAATGCAGCACTACTCAAGCAATTCAGGAAATTGTAAGGGAAGTAGTTGATGGCCTAGAGAGAGGTCACTTCGTGTCTTTAACATTATGTGACTTATCTAAGGCTTTTGATTGTGTCTCACACACTTTACTTTTAGACAAAATGCACAAATATGGCATAAGGGGAAATGCTCTTAATTTATTTCGATCGTATTTAATAAACAGAAAACAGGCCGTTTTTTTAAATAATAATTACTCCAATTTTCACAATGTTGAACATGGAGTTCCCCAAGGGTCTATATTAGGACCTACATTTTTTCTTCTATATCTCAACGATATATTTCATTATACCCACCCCTTAAGGTGTATATGTTTTGCAGATGATACAACCGTTATTAGTACCGACCAGAATCAATATAATTTAAATAACAAAATAGGAAACGATGTGCTTAAAATTAAAAACTGGTTTACACATAATAAACTAAAACTAAACGAGGATAAAAATCAAAATATAGTTTTCAGTTCAGATCGAAGACACATTTTTGGATATAGCATCAAATTGTTAGGGATTTTTATGGATGACAACTTAGATTGGGGCATCCATATAGACAACTTAAGTTCTAAACTCGCCAGTACAATATTTGTAATGCGTAACCTGGTTTATTTGGTACCTAAAAGTACCCTTAAAATGTGTTACTTTTCATTGTTTCATAGTCATATACAATATGGAATAGCTGTTTGGGGCAACTCTGGTCATGCCGACAGAATATTTAAATTACAAAAGAAGGTGGTGAGGATACTTGCTGGAGCGGATTTAAGGGATCATTGTAAACCATTATTTTTGAACATGGGTATTATGCCTCTACCTTCGCTTTATATGTATGCAACACTGTTGGAAATTCACGATAATAAAAATAAGTTTACTATAAACTCCCAATTACATGATCATCTAACAAGATCGAGGGATTTAATTAGGTCACAACGATTCAGACTATCAAAGAGCACAAAGAATTCAATTGATATTCACTTGTATAACTATCTGCCTAACGAAATAAAAATTCTGTCTCCACCACTGTTTAAAAATAGGATCAGAAAGCATTTTTTAACATATTGTTTTTACTCAAAGACAGAATACCTCAATACACCTTTGTAACGTGTACCCAGTTTGGTCAGAATACTGTCGATTTACTATCTACATATCACATTGTATTATTGCTATTAAAATGTACTAAGTTTTATGTATTAGTTTATTTAGTCATCGATTCGGGAATATTCTTAATTATTTGTACATTTTTGTTACTTCCATATTTCAAAGATTTTTTATGTGACAGTTTAGGTTTGTTTTTTTTTGGTTAGAGATTTTTTTATCTTAAATTTTTAATTTTAATTCTTCTGCTAATACTTACATATGTATATTACTTTAGCCAATATGGTCAAGTTAATTTTAAGTTTACATTATTATATCTTTTATTGTATTTTTTATACGGACTTCAAACTTTATGTAAAGTGGTCAATAAACGTTTTATCTATCTATCTATCTATCTATCTATTATCGTGCTGTAAACTTATAAATAAATATATTTACATAAATAAGAAACTCTCGTTTTATTTTAATACGCTATAGTAATAAATAAATTGTAAAACTTTAAATTTTACCACTTTTACCAATTTTTGCCAATGACCCTTTGGGGTTGAGGCATAAATAAAAAAAGTTAATTAAACCACGTCAATCTCTGAATCCACAGAACAGAGTAAGAATAAAAAATTGTTTTAAAGCTTTGTAATACTTACTTATAGTTTATCTTAAAGTCATAAAAGGTCATTGACGATCTTCTTACCTATTTTTAAAGTAAAAGGGAAGTAGTAGTTCAAAAATTAGTAGTATCGGTAGCTTTACTTTATTTATCCAATTTATCAAATGTTAAATATACAAAATATGCGGATAAACATTTCACATTTAACAAACTATACTTTATTATTTATAGCTCGGAACCTGGGAGCACATTCTATAATAAAAACAAAGATTAACTAACAATAAATTGTCATGAGGTATTCGAGATGTCTAAACTTCAGAAAACATTTCAGTGTTTTGAAGTTATCAACAACAGAAGGTTTAGAAACAAAGAAGATCTCAAATGTGTTAATTAATGTGACCATTAACCAATTCAATACTAAAAAATATTTGCCAATTTTTAGTACTAAAGAAGATTTGTGAAAATTCCAGGACTTTTTGAAATGCACGGCAACGTCGCTACAGTTGGTAACATTGTTTAGTGACTCAGTCCAAGCTGTGCTTAACTGCGACTGTTGCGACGTCGAAACAACATTCAAAGTGTTTTAATGACTCCAACTTAGAGAGGTCCTGTGAAGAAAAAAACTTTTTGAGCATTATTCCTGGAACTTTTTGATCACCCATCGTATTTAACACATAATATATTTAATATTCATAAATGTTTTTTTTTATTTGTTCTTTTTAACGTAAAATATTCGAATGTTGGTATATCTTTGGCTAGATATGCTAACAATGTCTTTTCTTAACCTAAGTAAAATATACATTCAGTAGTTTAAGTTTGTTAGTGCCCCCACGGTTCCTGAGAATAGTCTTTACAGCAGATATTTGCCAAAAACAACATATTTACAGCCCGTAAAAAAATAAAAGCACTTTTTGTCGTTTTTGTCGTCAATTCATTGTTCTGTGTCAAATACCGTCTATGAAAACTTGCAACATTTATAATAAACTTATTATTAGGTACAAAAAGAGTAAAAATTTTAAATCAACAGTAAAATTTTTTAAAGTGAGAGAAAACTATAACAAATAAATAAACTTTTTGTTTCGTATTAGGCGTATATGTGTCTTCTGTAACTGTTCCTGATCGAACTGGCTAGACACAAGGCGAAAATAGCACCGACAATCTAAAAAAACAAAATAAAAATGAAAAAAAGTTTAACCAAATACTAAAGAAAAATAGTATTATTTTCTACTAGTATTACATTATTATTTTAATAAAAAAATCACACTAAATCAATTCATTAGCGCCACTTGTTATAATCAAAATATATAGATACAAAAGTTTTGCATCTTGTTATCAGTGTCTTACAGTTATATCCATAAAAAGCAATTACCGCTAAACATTTTAAACAAGCAAAAAACGTTTTCGAGCTGTTTTGTAGTAGGTTTTAGTAGTCTTTTTCCTTCAGCTCAGCAGACGCAGGGAGTGAACACAAACTAGTACTATAAGCAAAAATTCAATGTAGAATCACTGTAGAACGACTCTACAAGAGAAATGTACCAAAGGAGGCTATGTAAATGTATAGAAGATACAGCTGAAACAAATAGACAAATAAAAGAGAAATGTAAAGAGAAACGTACGTGTTAACGAACAGTTGTCAGAAGAAATTGAAATTAGATGTGGAGTGAGACAGGGATGCGTACTGTCGCCAATTCTTTTTAATGCTTACTCCGAAGAGATCCTGAAAAACGCCCTTGAGAGTAAAACAGCTGACGACACTGTGATTTTAGCAGAAAATATTGAAGATCTTCAGAAGACTGGTGACAAGAATAGCAGAGTATGGAAAACAGTATGGTCTAACAATGAATGTCAAGAAGGCGAAATTTATGAGAATTTCGAAAACTCAAAGAAATAACGAGAATCTTCTAATAAACGGAGCCGTTGAAATATGCATATCTGGGAACAATCATTAACTCCACAAATGATTCATTCAGCACCGGGACTCCGTGCCACATAGAATTCTATCGTAGAATTCTATGTCGTTTTCTATCTACAACGGCGATAGTAACGTGTATTGGCACTCCGTGCGTATGTCGTTTCGCTTCGGTATTTTCCGATCTCTCTATTATTGAATGTAAAAACATTAACCTTTTGGTTTTACTCAAATATCGCATTTATTGTCTATTATCTTTGTTTGTAACACATTTTAGAGAAAGAAAGTACTATTTTTGGGGTTTTTAATTGTTTGGGTTGACTTTTTCGGTTTCAGTTTATTACGCGGGTCATTTGCATGCTGCTGTTTGTTTTTGTTATTTGAAGTCATTTTTAAAGAGCTTCGTCTTCGTTATATTTTTGGATAAAAATGAGGGTCCGAATGGAACATTGGGAAATGTTGCTTTCATTTTGCGAAGAATATCCAGAATTAATGACAAATAAATTTAATAGAAGTGAGGGACGAGCTAAAGGAATAGCTGTGTGGCAAACTGTTACCACAAAATTAAACAGTTTAGGATATGGCGAAAAAAGCATAGAGGGGTGGAGATCCACAGAATTTCAGCAGAGTAGGAATGGCTACTGAATTATTTGTGTGTACCATATTGGGTGCAATTGGATTATAAACATATTGTGCCATCTCCTTATTCAACCTAAAGAGTTCTTTAAATCGAATATCTTCTATAGCGAAAGGATTGCTTTCATCTCGCATTTGGCGCCTTGTTAATGCTTCGATACGAATTTGCTCTAACCGCTCCTCATTTTCCCCTGCTAGTATGTTTATTATATTAATAGGTAACATGCCTACACTATTTTCCACGAACTCAGCAAAATAAAATAAACTCTTACGAAAAAACCAAAAACAGTTAGAATGTACACATAACCTTAATCTCCAAAATAAAAATAAACAAATTTACTGTCAACTTGCTTTTGGAATATAATACGCTTGCGCTATATAGAATTCGATAGGTCTCTGGAGATAGAAACGAAACGACCAAAATAATAGCATTCATGCGACAATGCGGATGTACGGAGTGTCGACGTTGTAGAATCTTCTCTATATGTAGAATACTACATGGCACAGAGTCCCACTGCAGGAGATCAAAATCAGAATAGAAAAGGCTAGAGCAAATTTCAACAAAATGAGAAGAGTGCTATGTACAAGGGATTTAAAATTGGAAACTAAGAGTTAGGTTGGCGAGGTACTATGTTTTTTCGACTTTATTTTATGAAATAGAATCTTGGACCTTAAATGCGACATCAATGAAAAAACTGGAATCATTGAAACTGTGGGGGTCTAGAAGAATTCTAAAAATATCGTGGACAGAACGCGTCACAAACAAAGAGGTTCTGAGAAGGATGAATGAAGAAATAGAAATTTTAAATACAATTAAAAGAAGAAAATTGGAATATCTCGGACATATTACACGTGGAGAAAAATACACATTGCTCCAACTGATTATCCAGGGAAAGACCCAAGGAAAGAGAAGCATAGGGAGATGTAGAATGTGATGGCTACGCAACCTGAGAGATTGATACGGATGTACATCAAATGAACTTTTCAGAGCAGCCATTTCAAAGCTGGAAGTAACGTTTACATATCTGGGAATAGATATAACTAGTTACAGAGCTCTAGCGGCGTGATCTTTTAATGACACAATCTGGAAAAACAAACATCTTAGTGAGAGCGCCCACCAAACTGGCGTGGCACGTGGCAAGTAGCAAGTAGCACGCGTCTAGCATGTTACTTAAAATGTAACCAATGAAAACGAATGATTCAGCGCACACCAAAATGGCAGTGACGTCATTCGATCTAATCATTTGTTTGCATTGGTTACATTTGATGTCAGGCAAGGCGCTCACCAACGTGGCAACCAAATGGCGTGGCAATGGCGAGCGAGTGCTGTGGTGTCCCAGTGGCATTGCATAGCTTTGTGCCCTCCAAAATAAATTGGCAGGACCCTGGTCTACCTGGCCTTTCGGCATACGACCGTTAGCGCTCCCACTGCCCCTACGAGTCCGACACCAATTGGAGGTGGCACGATGCCGAAACATCGTGGGGCTCCACCTCCCCGTAGTACCAGTGGCAGATAGAATTGTTAAACCTTTATAAACGTAATGTAGTCGCACGAAGAAATAGAGTAGAAATACGAAGAAATACATTCCAGGATTGGCCAAGCAAGATCATCCACCAGACAGCTACACGGACTATTATGGAATAAAAAAATAACAAAAGAAAATAAAAGAAGAATTTATAAAACAATAATAGAAAGTATTGGACTGTAGGGCGCCGAACTCTGGGAAATAAACCAAAGAAACAAATCAAAAATTAAGGCCATGGAAATGAACTACTGGAGACGATGTTGCCAGCTCACTAGACTTGTTAGGGTGAGAAACGAAGATATTCGGAGAGAAATGGAAATCGATCTAGACATAATAGACACAATCGAAGCCAAAAGGCTTAACTGGTATGGACACCTTCAGAGAATGCCGGAAAATAGATGACCAAAAAAAATAGAAGAATGGACTCCGCCAACTAGAAGAAAACGAGGTAGACCAAGACGATCCTGGAGAGACGATGTCGACGATGCAATGACCGCCAGAGATCTAACAACTGAAGATTGCTTCGACAAAAAACGCTGGAAATTAGGATGCGAGAAGCGGCGCCAGCTGTAGAAGACTCGCTTGTTATATATATTATTGTAGTCGCACGCATCGAAAGGTCGCACGTGCGACTACATATGTTTATACATTTTACCTGCCACTGGGACACCACAACACTTGTTCGCCATTGCCACGCCATTTGGTTGCCACGTTGGTGAGCGCCTTGCCTAACATGCTAGACGCGTGCTACTTGCCACGTGCCACGCCAGTTTGGTGGGCGCTCTCCCTAAGACACGGCACAGAAACAAGAATCTATAAAGCAGCAATTAGACCTATATAAATATACACGGCGGAGAGAAGACCTGACACATATAAAACGAGACGACTACTAGAAACATCAGAGATGAAAATATTCCGACGAATATTACAGAAAAATCTATTAGATAGGGAGAGAAGGGAAAAACATAAGAAGAGCATGCAATATAGAAGACATAAATGAATGGGTGACAAAACGGAAACAGGAGTGGAACAAACACATTAGTAGAATGTCAAAGGATAGTACGAATAGCACGAGATAAGTCACTAAATGGATGAAGAAGCATTGGCAGAGCAAGACAAAGACGGTGTGATAATTTAAATAATTTAGGAGGCTAATATTGAAGAAGAATGAGGCTTTAAAGCCTAGATAAGAGAAGAAAGAAGAAGAAAAAGACAATATTTGCCAAACTTAAAAATGTCCTACTAGCTCAAAGTCTTCTACTTCATTTTACTGTATGTCTCAGAGACGTAGTGTTATAAGATTAAGACACTAAACCGAATGGAAGCATGTCAAATGTGGAATCTTACGAGTACTGTGATCCGCATTTCAAAGAATGAAGAAATTTTAAGAAATTCAAGCTGTGAACGAGAAATATCAACACTCCCAAACTAATTTTGTAAGAAAAGACACAGGAAAAAACATTCTTGGTTGGGAAACGTAAGGGACTGGTGTAACATCAAATATGTAGACATTTAATTGGAATGGAGATAGAATAGGAGATTTCGGGTATGGTCAGAGAAATGATAGAGGTGATACTTTGATGAACTACCTAGAAGAAAAACATCTATACGCAATGAACTCCTTTTACAAAAAGAAGCCCCAACGAAAGTGGACATGGATCAGCCCTAATGGATCCGCAAAAAATGAGATCGACTTCATACTGTCCACGGAACGATATATTATTAAAGATGTAACAGTTCTTAACAGATTCACAACAGGTAGCGATCACAGGATGGTCAGAGCAAAAATTAGTATTGACGGTAACTATGAGATGAAAAGAAAAATAAGTAGAAACTGGAATCTAGTAGATAGAAACAAATTAGGGCAATATAAAGTGATATACATAGACCTATTAAAAGAACAACTTACCCAAAGATTAGACAGTGACGATAAAGATATAGACGAAATAGACAACATACTTACAGCAACAATGATTACATCAGGAAAAGAAATAGCAAAGAAGGATCTAAAAAAGAACAACTATATATCAACAGAAACAAAGAAGCTTATGGATAAAAGAAGGAAGCTGAACGAAGAAGGCAAAAGGA